ATTTGTATAGTTTTGAAGTTACATATTGCAGTTTTTCTTTCCGACAATTTTACTTATAAGAAAAAGGTAATTAAAACTGATAACAATTAATAAGAGATTTTACTTAAATTAAAACCACATTATACTGGTACGAAAAATTATTTTTTATTGAATAACTGTTAAACAAATATTTTCATACAACTTTACAATGTCCAAATATAAAATATATTAGGTTTTTTTTTACAGTTCATTTTAATATTATATATAATTAAGTCATTCAGTTTTCTGCGATTATCTAGCGACTAACATTATCATATAACATTATTTGCGATATGAATCATACTTTTTAAGAACATATCTACTAAATGAATTCGAATAATTAATCATTAATTATATTTAATTAATATAAATGATTAAATATATTAATCATAATGATTTTTACAACTTAGGTAATAAAATATTACTTGGGTATTATACATAACTAGCTGATTCAGTTTTTGCGATTATCTAGCGACTAACATTATCATATAACATTATTTGTCATATAAATAATACATTGTAAGATCATAACTACTAAACGAATTCGAATAATTAATCACTAATTATATTTAATTAATTAAATGATTAAATATTAATCATAATGATTTTTACAACTTAGGTAATAAAATATTACTTGGTTATTATACATAAAAGTAAATACATTTTCCTTTTCGGTGAACTCGTCATTTAAATGCACGTTATGTTGTTATTTAACCCAAATTCTTTCTCTTCATAAATATCTAATTATAGGTAAGTATTATAAAAGTTGTATTTTGACTCTCCATTATAGATTGGCAATCTAATTCTGAAATAGACATTTGAAAATAAGATTTTTCTGAGTATTTTAATTACTGTGTTATTTTTTTCTGTTGACATGTTACTAACCTAACCATCTTTCTCCTCCAATCGAAGCCTCACCGTAAATTTGAAATAAAATCATATTTGGAAATATTTCTTTGAATGCTTTACTTTCGATCGTATCGAGTTCGTTAATACGTGTCGTCGAAAAGTACATTAAAGCTGTCGAATATAACTTTAACTCTACTTTTTCTTTAAACGTTGTTAATTTCTGCTTAATAGTAATCATACTATTGCATGTTTCATCTAAAGTTAAAGTCCAAACTTTCATATCTGGACTACTTATAAACAAAAGTACCATCTCCGCTTCATTTGTACAAAATTTTTTTTTAAAACGATACTGGCAGACAGTGATCTTATCCAATAAACCCCCCCAAATAGGAATGTTACTTTTTGGAAACCTACATAAAAAGAAAAATTTCTATTATTCTAAAAACATATACTTTGTCTATCTTTGGATAAGAATTGTAAACATTCAATATGTTACCAGTCAATTATATAATGAAAGAATTGCAATAGATAGAAAAAATGTAAATTTATGGCGAATAAAATTATGCATTTTTGCATAT